ATTGTGTCCTTGGGGCTATCTAGTGGACAGACAGTTCGCCTGCTTTCCTCCCTAGTCCCCTGTTGTAAAATAGTGGCCTTCACTCTTTTGACCTGTCAGGGTCCTGATTGGTTACTGGGTTTTGATTTACCCCCAGCTGGTAAGCCCCATGCAAGCCACAAACCCATGCAATCTCCATGCAAGCACAAACCCAGGAGAAAAAAAAAAGAAAGAAAGAATTATTCATAAATGAAGGTTACTGATTATGCCTATCACCTGATTGTTGTGATTATAGTGTCATACAAGATTAAGGGCATACCATCTATGGTAAATGCCTGGCAGAATGAGTGCTATAACTCTCACTCACTGAGCATTTATTTACTCTTTGCTTAAGTTTTTGTTAGGATGTGTGTGTGTGTGTGTATATGTGTGTGTGTGTGTTTGGCAGTACTTAGGATTGAACCCAGGGTTTCATGCCTGCCAGGCAAGAGCTTTACCACTGAGCCGTACTCCCAGCCTTCCTTATTGGATTTTTTTGTACCTGGGTTTGCACATTTGCATGGAGGCTGCTACAAGCCATGCCAACTGGGGGTAAAACAAAAACACAGTAACCAACACCAGGCTCCTAACAGGTCAAAACAGTCAACTCAAGCCACATAACAACGTGTTTGGGAAAAAGATCGGCCACCATTTTACAAGATAGGACTGGCAAAGAAAGGAGATAACATATCTACCTGATACACAACCACACAGGTACAGTTGTGGGGAAGGGGTGAGAAGCGGAGTTGGTAACAGAAGTATGAGTAGGGGACATTCTGTGCACAGAGGCAGAGAATAGGCAACTATTTTAATGAACTTGTGTGGGGTGAGGTGGCGGTAGATATAATAAAGAACTACAGAGATTGCAGTGAGATTAAGAGCAGAAAGCTGAACTTAACACTCCAGGGGCATAGGCTAATGATTAGAATCAACAGGTGAGAAATATGGAATTTGAAACCAGGTACATCTGCTTCCAAAGATCATGCTCTTAATCACTACAGTATTAACACTGGGCATATAGTAGTGCTTAGTAAATGAAGAGGTACTCCTTTTCCTGGGAAGTTTTCTCTCTCCATCTATAACCATGTCCATCCTTCAAGGTCCGGTTCAAATGCAACTTCACTCTCAACAGATATGCCCTCTCTGTTGCTATGTGGTTGGGGAAAGGAGGCAATCAGTGGTTGGGTGGAAAGGTATTGTGTGACACTGGGATGGGACAGCTGAGCAGAGTTGGAGGAAGGACTCTGGGACTCTGGGTTTTGAACAAGATTTTTTTCCCTACAATTGTGCATGGGAGTTGAATACACTAATATCAAAGTAACTCACACTGGGCTCTGATTAGTCTGAATGGTGAGTTCCAATCACTTAGCAACCATGTGGAGGGGGGGAGGATTGGAAGCCATTTCAGGACATGGTACTGAAAGGAAAGTGAGACAAAATGTCTACTTAGTAAACAACAGCACATGCACAGTAAGTGAGAGGTGTGGGGGAGTGAGAAGAGCTCATTCTGAGTTAAGAATTACTGTTCCAAGGGTTTTAGGGTCTTTAAACCTCTGGGGATTTTGGGATTTGTAATTCTATGCTATATAATACTTTAAAACCAAGGATATTGGGATTCCAAGGATTTTAAATCCCTATAACCTATGGTATAAGGACTCAAGCAATTTTTGAGATATGAAAATAGAACCCAAAACAAAGGATTTTAACCAAATAGGACCTAAAAAATAGGACCCAAAACAAGGATTTTTAAACGGAACACTGGTCATGTTAAAATACTAATTAATCCCCCCTCAGCTTCATATCATTCTTGACTTTAACCCTTATGACAGTGATTTCATGACTGTCTTCCCCACAATCTGGGGATTCCTAATAGTGCTTCACAAAAGAGGGTGGAGATTCCAGTGAATCTGGAGGCTAAGGCAGGAGGATGGCAAGTTTCAGGTCAGCCTCAGGAATTTTGTGAGACCATCAGCAACTTAGCAAGACCCTGTCTTAAAATTAAAACATAAAATGTACTTGCAAGTATAGGTAGTATGCTACATGAGGGGCAAGTTTTTTGCTAATACTCCATTCTGACCCGATGAGTGGAGTTTGATAGTAATCCTTGCTACAAGTAAAATGTAAAAAAAAAAAAATTAAAACAAAAAAAAACATTAAAGGACTGGAAATGCAGCTTAGTGGTAGAGTGTCCCTGGGTTCAATCCCTAGTACTACAAAAATAAATAAATAAGTGGGAGTAGAGAGAGTTTAAAGGAGAGTGGAGGACACCGGGGCAGGGATTCTGGCTTCCCCAGGGCAGCCCCATTTAATCTGACTTATATATTAGGCTTCTGCGCTTGATTCAAAACACAATTCCAAAGGAAGGGTTTCCTGTAAAAGCATGAAAATAGGTTTGAAAACCGCTGTCTTAGGATAGGATCCCAAAACCTGTGGGCTGCCATTTGAATGTCAAGAGTGGTCCAGGAAACAGTACTTGACCTCTGTCATTTAACTTTTGGTTTTTTTGTTTGTTTGTTTGTTTTTAATGGAGATGAACACTGCAAAGATGTTTTGACTGGTTAGACAATCAAATGGTACTTAATAAATCAGTCATTAGTTGACTCAAGCCTATACTCTCATTTCTTTTATAAAATTAATAATATCAGCTACCACAACTACTATTATTGTGACTAGTATCACCTACTGGATGGTTTTCCTATGTGCCAGAACCCAGACTAAATACTTTTTACATATTATCTCGTTGAATCCTCACAATGACTCTGAGAGGAAGTAACATTATTATCCTCATTATACCAATGAAGAGAGGGCTCAGAGTGGATAAGTAACTTGCCCAAGGTCATACAACAAGCACATGGTAGTTTCCATTTTACTTAAAAGCAGAAACAGAATGGAATAAAAGGATTAAAGTGGTCAAAGATCAACTAGCAGCTTTAATTAAAGAACAAGGTTAAATTTTGACCAATAGATGGCACCAGTGTGTGAGTTTGTTGGCCAGCTCAAGGCTCTATCTGAATTGGCAAAGTCCCAACTATAGCTCAGAACTGAAGCTGATTATCTCAGTTTGAAAAAGGAGGGGAAAGAAAAGTAGCCTCGTTCTGCCTCTCAATAAGATGTTATCCTGTCCTCTTTGTAGCTAAGATATAGGGAAACAGGCAAGTAAATGGATGTTGGTTCTACCAAGAGCTGCTTTAAGAAGACTTGAGAATTTTGACTTTCAGCATTTCCTAAGCAACTCCTTTGTGCCTGTCATTGTGCTGTGCTATGAAGTCATATGGGGATATCAAACCCTGCTATATCTTACGCATAGGATAGGAAAGGAGGCAGGTGCTATGGTAGGAGAGGCACTGAGTGGCGGGGGTCAGTCTGCTTGGAGTGGCTTCTCATAGGAGTGGTCGGTGGACTAGTCATGTAGCAGGGATGGGAGTACAAGATATGCAAAAGTGAAAAGGCATTGCAGACAGAAGTTTAAAGCCACAGAGACGTTAGAAAGTATGCCATATTGAAGGACACAGTGTAAATTGCAAGAGTTGAGGGATGAATCTAAAGAGACAGAAATCTGGGCTTGGGATATAATTTAGTGATAGAACATTTGCCTAGCATATGTGAAGCCCTGAGTTCAATCCCTAGTTCTGCAAAACAAGTAAATAAGCAAGAGAGGCAAATCCAGATAATTGAAAACCTTAGAATATTACATTAAGGACTTGATTTGGAAATACATAGCATTGAATGTGTGTATACACATGTATTTTTTCTGGGTAGGGAAGCCCTAGATTTCCAAGGGATTCTGTGATTAAAAACAAACAGAAAACCTAAACCAAACAGAACAACCATAAGCCTAGCTATTGGTGAAGTAAGGACATGACCTGGCCTGGTTCGATAGCCAGTTCAGAAAACAAATTGCAAAGGACATGCTGGAGGCAAAAAAAAATTAGCTGAAGAGGAACTGGGGCAAGGTCAACAACAAGGCCTGAGCTGTGGTGGACACAAAGGGAACTAAGGACAGAAAATTGACAGGATAGGCCAGGCATGGTGAAACACACCTGTAATCCCAGTGGCTTGGGAGGCTGAAGCAGGAGAATTGTGAGTTCAAAACCAACCTCAGCAATTTAGCAAGGCCCTAAGCAACTCAGTGAGACCCTGTCTCTAAATGAAATAGAAAAAGGACTGGGGTTGTCACTCTGTGGTTAGTGCCTCTGGGTTCAATCCTTGGTGCCTAAAAAAATTGACAGGACTTAGTAGCCCCCCCAATACCCCTCCTCACACATGCACAGCCATTTCCAACACTCCCTCCTTCCCCTGAAGCCCATCCCCTACTCCCAACTTTCAGGCTACCCTTTGAGGGCTTTCTAAACTATCCTAGAAATTTAATCAAGCCTGATTTCACAAATTGAGAAGCCTTGGCACCATGCTGGGTCCCTAGCCCTACATCCCAAAGGAGAAAAATCTGTCAACTGACCTCAGGTAGAACAATGAATTGGCCTTGAGCTGGTCTCTGACCCTCCACTCATGGCTTCACAACATGGGCAGAGTTCAGTTAAGAAATCAGCACAGTTCCAAGAAAAAGGCAAACATCATGTAGTTTATTTTTCTCCTGATTCATCTCATGCCAACACTCAGATTTCAATGGAGAGCAAGCAAAATGGGGGAAGGAGTCCCCAGAGCAAGCTGATTCTCTAGATGCCTCCTTGTCTTCCTACAAGACTCATCAGAAAGGTGCCCCAAATTTGCTTGGATTTGGTATTGGTGTCCCTGGAGGTAAAGTCAGAAGTCAGGCTTCCCATGGGAGAGACTGGACTTATGTGGCCACCTGGGAAGGCTTGGTTGTCAAAGGCCCTGAGAAGTGGCTATTCTGCTCCACAAGGGCATGCCCTGCCCTGCTCTGCTTCCTGGGGGCTTCAGAAACAGGTTTTCCTTTCCCTAGAGCTCCTAGGAATCCTGTCAGCAGCCCAGACAATGAGATGCCAGGGGCCTGAGTTCACCAGCTAGTTGGGTAAGCCAGGATGAGCTGGGCAGCTTGAGGACCCAGTTTTTAGTCCAGAAAGGTGTCCCTTGGAAAGGCCCTTGGAAACTTGCCAATCAGTGACTGCTTCAGTTTGGACAGGAGGAGCTGTGGCCCTGTGTGGTGCAGGCCCTGGTATTCTCACACACCCTTCTGGCCCCTTTTTATTAGCCTCCTCTTTCTCCTCTTCATCCTCCTCCTCCTCCTCTTCTTCTTCGTCTTCACTGTCAGAATCCTCATATAGGTTGATAGTGGCCTGAACAGGGAAATTCTGCAGTAAAATTTCCCCAGCACTATACAGGTAGTCAAAGGAGCGTGATTTCGGCCAGAAGAGCCTGTGGGAAGAGAAGAAACATGGCCCAAATGTAGACTAGTTGAGTATACAGAGGCACCAGTAGGGCCAAGAAGGAAGCCAGCCCCTAAACCCCTTCTCTTAACTGGATTAATGGGGTGAGAGGGAAAGGTTGAAAGAAAGCTTTGTAATAGAAGTTTTTGAACTGTTACAAAATGACCCTGGCAAGAAGGTCACCTTTGGTGGACCTACAGCTGTGGGAGGACCTAGCCCCACATCTATCAGTTCTAGCCCTTACCCTACTCCCCTTCCCAGGAGACTTCTAGCCAAGAAATCTCTATCGCTGTGCTTCCCATCTTTTTTATTATAGATTCCTTCACTGCTGTGTGTACAGGGGCTCATCCTTAGGGAACAGTGACAATGCCTCCTGGGAAAGCAACCTTGGCCAAGAAAGTCCCTTAACCTCTCTGGGCTTAGTTTCCTTGACCGTGAAACGATCATACAAATGCCCCCTTCCTCCTGCTTCTCAGGACTGTTGTGAGGATTTAGACAGCTAATGTATCTATATCAAGTTCTAAGCTTGGTGCCAGAAGCTTACCTGACGGGGTGATGGAATTCAGAGTCAGCCTTGGTGGCCTCAGTGGCCGTTACCCCACCAGCAGCCTGTCCAAAGCAAAAGCTAGCATGTGGCTCAAAGTGCATGGCCAGATAACTGCCTCCCCCATATCAGAAGTCAGAAATCTGCAGGTAGGACAATCTGGAAGAGATCTTAAGACGTTTCCAGGGTCTACTTCCCCAGCCCCCTGTCCTACAACAAGTGGGTCTGTCCTGGTTCTGGTTGAAAAACAAATGGACAGAGTCCTGGGGTTGTTTGCTTTCCCGCCCCTGTTCTAACACCTGTTTGGAGGCTGTCCAGGGAACAGAGTTCTACTGGAGCAGCCAAGATTCAGGGAGGTAGGGTGGGAGAATACTAGGGCATTGTGCCAGGGGACTGGGATTTGGGCACCAGCTCTGCTGCACACTGGCTATGGGGCCTTCCCAAACATTTTTCCCACTCTGAGCCTAAGTCTCTTCATTTTTCCATTGGCCATGGAAATCTTGGGCCTCCCAGAGCTGCTGTGGAATTCAAATGTTAGCAAAGCCATAAGGATGTGCTCTCAGATTTGCAGCCTTGGACTGAGGTCAGGAGCTCTCTGGGAAGGGACTTGGCCAGTGTGAATGAATGTGGCTGCATGTGCCTATAAAGATATATCACAAGGACCCAAACTCACCCAATCCACCAACTTCCTCACCTGCCTTGGGGGGTCATTTGTGGAGGACAGCCAGGGCCTCCAAAGACAAGCTCCTCTAGGAGAAAAAAGAGATCAGTTGATGTTGAGTTTCTTAGGCTCAATGAGATGTTTGATCATATCTAAATTCTCAACACCTAGCACAATGCCTGGGACATAATAGGTGCTTTAGTAAATGTTTGTTGAATGTGAAATATTTGGAGGAGTAAATGAGGGTTGGGAGGAAACTATTTTGCCTCCTACCTCCTGCTCCAAGAAGTAGAGCTCAGAACACTACCATCTTCCTGGGCTGGGGGAAGGAACCAGAAATATTCCCAGGCCCATTGTTTCCCCACTGGACTTACAGAGGTAGAAAAAAAGCAGATGAGAGTCATATGGTATGTTTGGGGAAAAGACAGTTGCCCCAGTCAAAGGCTTCTTTAGATGTTGGCTCTTTCCCTACATCCTCAGCCACAGTCTAGGCATGTTAGCCCCAGTGCCACTCAGTGGACTCTACACCTGGCCTACAAGGACCTGGCTGCTTGACCTTCAGCTTTGGCAATGCCCACTGTCCCCCAATCCCCTCCTGCCACCTGGAAGCATTAGTGAAGTGAAAAGCCAAATGAAATATTCCAGGCCAGAGATGTGAAGCAGGGATTGTGAGGCCATTGCCTCTCCCCTTTACAGAGCAGAGGTGCTCCAATAGCTTATCTCCCCTCTCTCCTAGAAACCCCCTAAGCCTGAGTTCAGGTTGCCAAATGCCAAGTTCCACTTACCTTTCACTCCCAGGTATTTCTTGTCCAGAAGAGAGAAGGGGTGATGGGTGTAATAGGCCAGGGAGTTCCTGGGAAACTGGTGGTAGGGCCAAGGCCAGGTCTGGGACAGGCACCACAGCAGCAGGAGCAGCAGGGTCCATCCTTAGGACACCAAGGTCAGGCAGGCAGTGGGCTCTCCTACTTCTCAGAACTTTCTACACACTATTGGTCTTTCTCTAGAGACCCTTTTATAAGCCCTGCCTAGACTTATAAATTATTCAGGGAGTGCAGGGCTGGGGGCTTGGGAGGGGGATGAAGATTTGGGAAAGGAGCTCAGAGAGGGGAGCTGGGTTCCTGGGTGTTAAATCTCTCCCAGTTGAATAAACAAGGTGTCAGTGGGGGTTGAGGGGTTTGCTTTAGCTCCAAGTCAGAAAGGAAAACCCAGAAGGGACAAATTGCACACCATTTGTGTGAATTCCCCAGCCCAGAGCAAGGCCCAAGCAGGGAGGGAGGAGAGCTCATTAGCACCCAAAACCACAGAGAGCTGTTGGGGACAGAGGGCAGGATAGACAGGCCTTTTTAGCAAAGCTGGTTCCCAGTACAAACAGCTGACCCCTCTAAGGAAAGGGAGGGACTCACCTGCTATTTCAGCTTAAACCCCAAATAGATTTGTCAGATGGACCTTACATAGGATGACTGCCACTAAGCCTATCACCTGGTTAGGGGGAAAAAAAGGGGGGATTCTGGGTGGAGCAGGCCCAGTTGCCTGTGGGGTAGCCCTCCAATCTTCTTTCAACACCCTCCAACCCCTTGCTGCTCAGTTCATTTGCGAAAGTGCCTGAGTCCTCTCTTTCCAGCCTTAGCAGTAAATGGTCCAGTGAAGGACAGCAGGCAGGAGTTCCTGGGGCCTCTGGGGCGGATTCCAAATCTGAAAGCAGATCACAGCTTTCCATTCAGGAGCCAGGGGCTGGGGTGAAGCAGAGTTCTGCCCAGTGCTAAGCTGTCGAAGGACCAGCCCAGGCCTCCGTTCTCTCACGTGTGAGATAAGGCTGCCAGCCCAGTGGTCCCCAAGGTCCCTGCCAACATGAACACTATGTGATGGGAGCTGGGTAATGGGTACTGACCTCAGGCAAGCCCAGAGGCTTGACCATAGTCCTTGGCCTTAGCCAGCCTTCTGGGTCTTTGCCAAAAAGCTTCCAGTTACAACTACTGGCAGGCACCTTATTCTTTAGAGGTCTTGAAAATATCCCTACTGACCTCAGTGTCCAGCACCAGCACAGATTTAGCTTCTTGGATATTCATCACAGCCTGGTTTGTAATCATCAAAAATTAGAAACTGTCTCAGTGTCCAATAATAGGAAACCAGTTATATTAATTTGGGTAAATCTTTGCAACCAAATACTAAGCAGGCATTCATGGTCGTGTTCTAGGAAGTATAATTATAAACATTGAAAATGGAAAAAAATTAGATGCTAAAGTCATATGACTAATTGATTCAAGGGCTCGTCTTTCTGCATTCACCTACTCCCTACCCCATCCCACTTCAAATCCCAGTGTTCTTTGTAGTAAAGAAAAATTGAAAACAACCTAAGTGTCTTGCCTGACAAAGTAAGTTAAATCAATTATTAAACAGTTAAAGAATTTCATATGAAAATTAGCCTAGTAGAAGAATGAGGGAAAAGTTAATACATTCAAGAGTGAAAAAACATAATCTTCTAAAATATTATGTAGAGAAGGATTCCATTTTGGTTGGAAAACAGTGTAGAATGCACAGTATGCAGAGGAAAAAAGACTGGTTACAAGAAAGAATGTTACAGTTGTTGGTTCTGAGAGGAAGAATATGGCAGATTGCTACTTCCTTCTATATGCGTTCCTGGATTTTCAAGAAAGATACACAACCAAACTGCTCTTAAAAGTAAAGACAGGTGGGCACAGTAGTGTATACCCATAATCCCAGTAGCTCAGAAAGCCTAGGCAGGAGGATTGCAAGTTCAAAGCCAGCCTCAGCCTAAGCAACTTAGGGAGACCCTGTCTCAAAATTTAAGAAAAAGGAGGGGGGATGTTGCTCAGTGGTTAGGCTTCCCTGAGTTCAGTCCCTGGTATCAAAAAAAAAAAAAAAAAGTAATGACAAAAAACAATTGAAAGAAAAAAAATGCTTATCTGTGGCAGAAAGAATATTCTTGGGGGAAACAACAGCCATTTTCAAATATTTGAATGAGTTTACGCGTGTTCTAAGTGAATTAAAAGGTCAAGGCTGTGGCCCAAGGATGGAAGCTACAGGGAGACACATTTTGGCTCAATCGAAGGGAAACTTTCTAACAGCTCAGTCACTATCTAACCCAAGGCCCTGGCACTGTACCAGCCCTCAACAGTTTTATTCTATGAGATGAAATGAGTGCACTGCCTAGGGCTGGGGGGAGAGCTCTCTGTTCCTGAAAGTGTATGCTAGACCCTGGATTCTGAAGAGGGGAATCCTGGAGGGGAAGGAAGGGCTTCTGGGGAGCTCCAGCTTCTACCGGTCTCTGAAAATTCTGGCTGAATTAACTTCCAAGAGATGGAAATTTGCTTGTACTGCATCACTGGCTGAAATGAGAAGTGAGGCTGAGAGAAGTGACGCTAAAGAGACTGGGCGCTGTGCAGATAGCATGTGCAGAAGAAAGAAGCTCAAGAAATATTGTAACACCCTGGAATTTTTTTGACCTCTAGGTGGCCTCTGACAACAGGCAGGAGGAACACATAAACATTTCTCCTGAGCCCTGTAATACTGATGAACTAGACTTAGTTGTGCAACACATGCCACCTTCCACCTTGAACTTGTGTTCCTTCGGCCACTCCTTTCACTTCCTTGAGCAGGAGGCCTCAGGGTTCCTCTTACGTCTTACTCCCAACATGCTCTCCCAGAGTCCAGGGAACCTTCAGTCCTGTTTTCATGGCTGTTTATTCTCCTTACACAACTGCTATGTCTCGCTGCCTCCTAAGAATTGCCATAGTCTCATTCAGGTGTGGGACATGAAGCCACTGAACCCTCTTATTGGCTTCTCCCCAGCCTGTAGGATTAAAGGTCTGTTGCTAGGCAAAAATGGGAGCCAGGCCATTCTCTTTCACATTTAGCAGAGAACAAAATTAAGGTGTTCAGCAGGGGAGCAGGAAATGCCTAGATCAACTAAAATGGAGAACTTCCTATCAGGGCAATTAAGATCTTGCTTCTTGTTTTCTCTAAAAGCCTTATAGTTATTCTGGGCTTTGTCAGGCCTTTCTGAGAGGACTGGGTGCCTCCTTGGGGCCACTTTGCTGGACATTGCTTAACAAGGGGATGGACTAGAAAGAGGAAGGTGCTGTGGGCCCTGCCTCACAGCCTAGAGAGGTAGACCAATGCTGCTTGGGGAAGACAAAACTTGGCCTGCCTATGCATGGCTGATATCAGACAATCCTCAAGCATGTTCCCTTGTCAACTCCCCTGCTCCACCCTCCATGTTTCCCTGGGCACGTTTCCCTGGGCCACATTCTAAACTTTTTCAGTTGCCTACCATGTTCTTACCCCGCACCTCTCCCTGCTAGGAACAACCTCTGCTCATACTTCCCTGAGAAAACAGAGCCCTTCAAGCATGAATCACCTCAGTGCCCTGCCCCCCCACCTGCAATTGGACTGTCTCTCCAACTTCCTTCCCCTCCAGCCCTCTCTTCTTAGAGGACAAGGTGCCCCTTTCGTTAAAGGCTAATCCCTTCACCTGGGCCTTGGCTCATCCACCCTCCTTTTCTGGGCCCTTCCTCAGACACTATGCTCTTTCCCTTTAGGAAAGTTCAGCTGCCCTATACCACCACTTTCTCTTCTGAGTATAAAATACCTGACTCTCTTACCTCCAAAATCAAGCACCCTCCCCTCCCCACATGTGTTCTCTTGCTTCCCTAAATTTCTTTTTCTCTCAAACTTTTTTTTCCTCTCCCTCCTGCCTTCTCTCTCTTACCTTTCCTTCACCCTCAAGTTTGTTTAAAGTAGACTCTACAGCCTAGACTTCAACATTCTCCAGCTTCCCATTCACACTTCAACCAGTTTGGCCCCAGTCCCATCACCCAGTGAAAGAGCACTGCCAAAAGTCACCAATAACCTCCTAATTGCCAAATCCAATGACCTTATTGAACTCTGGATAGCAAAAGACACTGTTGGTCGAGCACTCTCATTTCTGAAACTCTCCTTCCTCTTTTGACTTCCATGATCACACTCTGCTTGTTTTCCTCCTATCTCTGGAACCATTCCTTGAACTAAATATTTTTTCATTCTCAGTCATATTCTCTCTCTCTCTCTCTCTCTCTCTCCCCCCCTCCCCCTCCTCCTCCCCTCCCCCCTCTCTCCCCCTTTCTCTCCCTCCCACCCCTCTTCCCCCTTCCCTCCCCTGCTTTTGGTGCTGGAGATTGAACCTTACAGTCTTGACCTCTCTTTCTCTGCTCATTTCTCAAATCAGTGGTTCTGAAATGGCTGTTTCCAGATCAGATTGAAACACAGTGACACTTTAAATGGGTCATAGTGAAATGAGAAAAGCTTGCCTAAGAGGGTGTTTCAACAATCTAAATCTATTCAATTATAAACAACTGTCCTTCATTCTGAGATTATGCCCTTCCTGTTCCCCCCCCCTCTTTTGTTTTTGGTACTGGGGGTTGAACCCAGGTGTGTTCTACCACTGAGCTATATCCATAACCACCACCCTCACTTTTTGGTACTGAGGATTAAACCCAAGCATACTTAACCAGTGAGCCACATCCCCAGCCCTTTTTATATTTCAATTAGAGACAGGATTTCCCTAAGTTGCTTAGGGCCTCACTAAATTGCACCCTACACCATCCCCAATACTTGTTTTTTTTTTTTTTAATTTTAAGACAGGGTCTTGCTGAGTTGCCCAGGCTAGTCTCAAACTTGCCATCCTCTTGCCTCAGACTCCTGAGTAACTGGGATTACAGGCATGCACCACTATACCTAGCTGCCCTTCCAACTTTTGGTGATAAAATTTATCTTTTTCAAAATTTTGGTGATAGTGAATGTTAGTTTATTTCTCTAATGTTTCCATTTGGTGAAATGTTTCTCTATGTCAATCTCACAAATATTTATTGAATAAATGAAAGAATGACAGCTACATTTCCATCCTGAAATTTTCCACATAGCCATCTC